GCGCCCTTCCCGATGCGCGGGGCCGGCTGGCTCCCGCGGCCCGCCCCCCGGCCCCGGCCCCCAGCAGACACGCATTGGGAGGGAGGGCGAATGGTGGGGCCCGGTGCCATCACCCGCGGGGAAGCGGGTCGTGAGAAGGCGGCGGGCGAAGCGCCGGCCACCTTAAAGGCGAACGCGGCGATTACGGCACCCGAACGAGTCTGCGCTCCGGTCTGGTTTGCTGGCTTCCCGTTGCCATCCTCCTCACCGGGCTGGCTGGGGATGATGGGAATCGCACGCCCCGCACGCTTGGAAAGCCCGGATCGGGAAAAGCTAACATCACTTTTCAAAAGTGGCTTCTTTTCTCAGTTAGAAGGAATGTTACCTTGAGTTGGGGGATATATTTATATATGTATTAATATCTATTCCACTGACCCATCCTTGCCCCTTGCTGGATTCGCACTAACCTGCAACCAGATCAGGTGAAACGTAGCTAGATGGATTCTCACAACAGGCTTGTTTAGTTTTAATTTCAGGATTTTTTTTTCATGGTTTGTTGTCCACTACAGACTCGCCTCCCTTGGTTAGCTTGACATTCAGTGTATTGCATGAAACTAGAAAATGGTTTAATTCAGAAATCAGGTTTGAACCCCTCCATCATAGACCAAACATCTGCATTCATGGGGAGAGCGGATTTTAATAGCTACGTGAAGGCTGCACTTTAGGAGAGGTGATTTTTGGGATTTACACCTGCCTCTCTTGGGGCTCTTAGCACCCGCCCTCAAAGGCTGTTCTTTTGAAACTGTCTGGCAGCCATTTTCCTGCCCGTTAAACAGTTGAGAATCCAGCAAGGGAATATTTTTCCTTCCACCGTGCCAACCGCCTTCACAAAGGAGTCTGAAGTCCAAACGAGTTTATACAATCTCTGATAGCTGTTGCACGTTATTAAATGCTCCTCCCTGCAAACCAGAAAAACTGGTATTAGAAATGTTCTTGACTTGCTAACTTTCTACAGGAGAGGATTATTCCATTTGGTGGAGGAATCTTCTATTCTGCGAATACTTCCTGGACTCGGATGTCAGGGAGTGCAGGAGAAACATAAAAGCAGCTTCAGGGGCATGCAGGCCACGTGAGGAGTGTCTGTTTAGAATTATAAACTCAGCCAGCTTTCACAAACTCAAATATACCAAGCTGGAACCACCTAACGCAGCTGCATTTTGAAGGCCGAACCCTGTTTGTCAGGGAGCAAGTCTGGGCCATACTTTACCTCTAGGAAATATGATAAAGAGATAAACACCCAACACAAAGGGATGGGCCCTAACAAAGCCAATCACGCTGCAGCTCTTTCTTTCTTTCTTTTGGAACATTTTTTTTTTTTGGAAAGAAAAAAAATGAAAAGGAAGGAATATTACCTGGAGCTTTGATTGCATTCTGTAATTACAGCAGAACAGCTATTTAATAAAAGCCTAATCCAGGGGAATCCACAAGGTACATCATGGGGTAATTGATTCTACCCCCACCCCGTCATCTTGAATGTTTTAGTCTTTTTATGTACAGTATATAGTTTTTTTTATATAGTTTGATTTTTTTAACTGAATTAATGTGGGTATTTATATTTTTAACTGTTTTTGAGGTTTGATTTTAATTGTGAGCCGCCCAGAGTCACCCTCTGGGGGAGATGGGCAGCATATAAATTGAATGAATGAATAAATAAATTCAATAAATAAATAAATGTAGGTTAATAAATTGTTTCCTTTTCAATGGGGGTGTATGTGTGTGTGTAAAAAGAAGTAAAACTGTAAGGGAGGAGTAAAGGGACAGTGGGAAAAAGTTGTCCAGTTCTTAGCTGATCTTGGAAATTTAGGCAGGGTTAGTCTGATTGATGATACGTGGATGGGAGACCACTAAGAGATCCCAGGACTGTATGTTAGACTGGGAAGTTGAAAAATAGGGTGGAAGGCAGTGGCCTGCCCTGCTGTAATCTCATTCACACCTCCTACAAAAGCATAATGGGATTAGCCTGGTTTTAACTCAATCTCTTGTGTGAACCTGGCCAACTGGGGCTTATCCAACAAACCTTGCTGAAGCAAACCAAAGCTTAGTGTGATCTGCGAAGAGTTTCCCCCGCCCCGCCTCAATATGATGGCTTTGAATTCTTTGCACGCTCACATTCGTATGTTAACCACCATCAGGATCTTTTTCCGTTCCCACCCCAGACGCTGCCACCCGGATTCACATGTTCAGCGGAAGTCGATCCTCCTCGGGACTAACCTGGCCAGAAACCGTTTCTCGGAAATCATCCTTTTTTTCACAGCCAGGAAAGCGAAAGAGAAACCAGCGTGGGGCAGGAGGGCGCGCGCGCGCTGGAAAGTCCCCGAACTCCTGAAAACACGCTTGCGGAAGGCCTCCTGCCTGGCTACTAGTGACGAAACAGCTCTTTGGGGCTTTTTGATTGGACCAGAGAGAGAGCTTTATATAGGCGCAGTGCTCTCGCTGGCTTTATTTGTGGGCCCGGAGGAGAGGCGGCAACTGCCACCATTCCACAGCGATGGCCTCGAAAGAGCTTTTTCTGTGGTGCGTCGTACTGGTGTGGGTCTCCGATCTCACGCAGGCTGATCCAAGTAAGACTTCATGGTTGCGGCTGAAATTCTTTGCTGCGAGTCGGTTGCTGCTCTCTGTCCCGCGGGGTTGGCTGGCAGCGACGTTTGGCCCGGGGTAGAAGCGAGTTACTTACCGGAGGGCGCAGCCTTGGCCGTGCTTAAGAGGCTTTTCTTTATGGATTTAGATTTTTTCCAGGAGCTTCGGGCGCCGTGCGTCTAGCCCGCGAGAGGGGTTGGGGGTGGGCGAGGGGGTCTGGCCCCCGAAACTTGCAGGGCCCTTGCGGGGCTGGGGGTGGTCTTGCGTCTCCTGGGTCTCTGCTGTGTTTAGCCCAGCAGTTTGGAGAAGGATGGGGGTTGTAGTCCTAACCATATCAGCGGAAGCGGGTTGCCTGTCTTTCGGTCGCCTTATATAATCTCGGAGGTTAAAAGAAAAGTTTTGACTCCCTTGTGATACTGGGGCGGGGGAGGAATCTGGTTAGGGGAGTAATGAGGGGAATTCCACTTCGCTTTTTTTCTTATTTCTGTTGACTGATTTCATGGAAGGGAACGAGTGGGGTCTATCCTTTATTTATTGCGTTTTAAACCCGCCTCGTATCCACAGGGTGGTTTAGCATCTTCCAAGTAAGACCAAAACAACAGAACATTTTTTTTCTTTTTTAAATCGAAAGGCAGAAGTGGTGCGTGTGAACAACTACATGGGTGGGGTCGAGGAGCGCTGAGGGCCGTGATGGCGTTCCGGATATGTCGTGTCTCGTTCTTAGCTTCGGGACATCTTTGTTTTCTTTCCTTTGCAACGTTTCTGTCCTGCTCGTGGGGCTCCAAATGCAAAAGGAAAGAAGGGCAGGAGTTGAGTAGCAAGGAAGGGGCCCTGGGTTAAGAATGCCCCGGATACAGACGACCCGTAGTTACAAGTGGAGCCTATTGTAGCAAAATTCGACTTAAATCCACTATGATTTGAGTTAATTGCACAATACTGTACAACTTACATGGTATTGTACAATAATACTGTTCTGGCTTATGTACAAATTCAACTTAAGGACACACTTTGGGAACGGAACTTGTTCTTAAACTGGGGACCACCTGTTTATCCTTTGGTTTGGAAGGGATGACAGTGTGCTGGAAAGAGGCACTCTCTCTGATGAGGTGCCTTCTCCAGAAGTAAAATAAAATAGAAATGAAGTGCTGTTCTAGAGTTTCACAGTAGTTGTTAGGTTTGAGCAAACAGGAAACTTTGGAGTCTGGGAACAGTGGGAGGAAGGTCGGGCTGTTAATTCCTCACACCTACCAGCCTTTAGTTAGCTCTAAATCCTTGTTCTCCAACCTTTGCAACTTTAAGATACATGGACTTCAAGCCATGGAATTTCATGCTGGCTGAGGAATTCTGGGACTTGAAGTCCACATGTTTTAAAGTTGCAGAGGTTGAAAAACTGCTCTAAATTGTAGGTCCTACTTTATCTACTCTTCGTTCATCTGAAACTCAGGGTGGAGATGGAGTTTGAGGAAGCTTCTGGATTGGGAACTGGCCAGCATGGAAGAGACTATAGCACACACTACCTTCTGCTAACCGTCTGTTGGAAATTGCCATTTCCTAAGAAAACTGTTTTTATATTTTTATATTATATTATAAAACAATGTTTTAAAAAAGATTGTTGGACTTTATTAACATGCAGGATGTCTGTTGATAAATCCAGGGATGTTGTATTTATAGACCTTTTCCCTGAGAGCTACAGGATGACCAAAATGGAGTTTTGGCCATGATTAGGAGGGCAGTGATCAAATGTTGCTCCTATTTTCACTTGCCTTTTCAGCTGATGCTTTGGAAACATAATTTCCAACCTTTACCAAGACAGGGGAGCCTACTTTTAGCCAAAGGATACATTTGGGGACCCGCTTATTTGCTCTTTTTTTTTTATCACCCATAACTTTCTAAAGAGGTGGTCCTCTTATTGTGCACTACTTACATGAAGCTACCTGAATGAGCTATTGCCAGTTGGGTCTTGTGGGCTTGCAAATAGTGTTCTCTCTGGAAGCAACGTCTGTGGACCAAACTTATGGGTATGATGGAGAAAACATGGGGCAAGATGACCTGGGTTTGCAACAGATTCTTCTTTTTCCTCCAATCTACAGAAGCTCCTGTTGTGCAAGTGTATTCCCGCCATCCTGTGACACATGGCAAGGAAAATGTTTTGCACTGCTACGCGGAGAATTTCCACCCTCCAAAAATCAATGTCACTCTCCTGAAGAATAATGTTAAATTAGCTAACGTCAAGCAGTCTGACCTTTCTTTCAAGGAAGACTGGACCTTCCAGCTTCTGACTTACGCTACGGTGGTTCCAAATGGAAATGATGAATATTTGTGCGTGGTGGACCACCAGGCCCTGGACAAACCAGTCACTGTCAAATGGGGTAACTACTTTGGGTTACTGTCTTTCCATTCCATCGCCTCCTCCCCTCTTCCACTCGAAACGGGAATAGTTAACTTGTCCTGGTCCATGGACAGGCCAGAGAATACATCATGAGAATCGCCAGTCCAGCCTCTCTTCACATGTTGCCAATCTAGTCTTCCCACTCACCGAGCCTGCATGGCCACTGGTGAGGGATTCTGGGAATTGTAGTTCAGCAACATCTCGAGAGTTACAAGTTGCCCACCTGTCCTGTGAAGGGGCCTGTCCAATGAATCTGTGTCCTGTGCATTGAAGCAATGTTCTGTTTAGCCCAGTCCTAGCTTCTAGTGAACCAGGATGCTCCGTTTGATTTCTCACACTTCCCAACATTCCAGCTACCATATGGGGAGTGATTAAACAAACCATGGCTTATTTTTGTCAGCCTTTGATAGTCGAGCAGTCAGAAAACAAACCATACGTGAACTACTGGAATTCTACTTTATCGTCATAGGGTGTAATAGCAGAACTCTGCAAATGATAATAGGAGGTCCCTTTCTGTGTCTCAGGATTTCAGTAAGACATGTTTTTAAAAAGAAAAAAAATACAACAAGCTCGCCACGTCCTGTTTTTATTATTATGTATTAAATTTGTATGCTGCCCAACTCCCAACGATTCTGGGCAGTTCACTAGTAAACGTCATGAAAAAGAGTCTGTTATAGATCTGTATGTTACTACTGGGCTCTGTTGTTTCCACTCTTCCCAACATCACTTTAAGATTATCTCTCTTGAGTTTCCTCTGAAATATAATAAATGTATTCTACAAATTTCTACATGTGATAGAAAATGTTGCCAGAAAGCTTTTTAACCGTTTCCTATTATTTAAGAAAAAAAAAAAATTGGGGTGGATTTCTTGCTGAGTGCATGCAGAGCAGTAGCAAATTACAGGCTTAGACTCTGTAGGCCCTCAATGATTTGACATCTATTTGAAGAAATGCGTGCTGAAAATTTGTTCTCTTTGTCTTCTACAGAGCAGGATCACTAAGCCAGTAATCTGCAGTCTATAAGGTAAGAGATGGATGTTTCATGAAAAGTATAGTTCACATGCAATACGCAAATGTGTGTATTATTACTAAGGGAGTAAAAGATTAGCTTGCTCTCAAAAAAGAAAGCAGTAGACAAAATGAAGCCAGAGAACCGTGTGTTTAACAGCTTTCAGCAGGAGAGAGGGCTGTAAAAAGAGGAGAGAAAACTGGTGCTTTAGATCAGCTTTTCTCAACCTTGGCAACTTTTAAGATGTGTGGACTTCAATTCCCAGATTTCCCCAGCCAGCATGAGGTTGCCAAGGTTGAGAAATGCTGTGTTAAAATATTATACGTGTCGCAGCCAACTTATGGGCTCCCTGAAAAAGCCATATTTTAACAGATTTCTGGAAAGCCACAAGGGTCAAAGCCAACTGACCGTTTTGCAGAAACCCTTTTGAAGTAACGTGATATAAATTATTGCAGTAAATAAAATGTACCTGAATATAGATGAGTAAAATTTTGATCTCACATGACAGGGAGGGGAAAAAAACCCAATTTTGGGATAGACATGAAGGTATCTATATGCCATTTCTAATCAGATTTCCTATACAATAATAATATGGCTAAAGTAGCTAATATTTTTAAAACCCTGTACAAGGTTTTTTTTAAACAAAAACACAAGGTGGTCTGGATATTTTATCTAAAACACTTTTTAAAAAGGATGGCATAGGAAAATAAGCAAATTAAGATCTTAATTCTTCCTAAAAATCAAATAATGCAGATTAAGAGGATTTTTTTTTAAGGTGCTGGTGACCAAGAAAAACCTATAGACAATGGTGCATTATTTCTACCTAAACACTAGAGTTCTTTTAATGGTGGGGCTTTCACAAATAATTTTTATATATATAAAAGAGTGTTGCATATGAGGAAATTTGAATCCAGGAACCAAGATTATATAGGCTACTGCAGTGTTTTTCAAACTTGGCCAGTTTAAGATGTGTGGACCAACTCCCAGAATTCCCTAACCAGGATGCATGAATTATGGGAATTCAAGTTCACACATGTTGGCTGGGGAATGCTGGGAGTTGAAGTCCACACATCTTAAAGTGGCCAAGTTTGAAAAACACTGGGCTAGTGTGTGTGTGTGCGTGGGCACACGTGTGCGCGCAGAATACAGATGTCAAAAAGTGTAAAAGTGTAGAACACAATAGCCAAAAGAACTGTAATTAATATTTATATTGCACTTTAAAGAGTTGAAAACGCCTTTCACAAACGTGTGGTAATCCTCATTAGATCCCTGCACGACTCTTGCAATACTCTGAAGGGCTTAAAAATACTTTCCCAGGTTTGTATTTTGTACATCCTCAACACAATCTGGTGAAGGGGGACTCAGACACTGACGCAGAAAGTTTAGTTGGCTTTCCGATCCAGTTTATCATCTACTGTACCGCATTTCCTCTTACTGTTTTTTTAATAATAATGTCTTTTTTCTCCAGATTTGATCAACACTGGTTCCAAAGGATATGCTTATGAGATTTGAGTTGACTTCCTATACTCTTTCTGCTCATGATTGATTGGGGAGCACCACTTTCAGATTTTTAAAGCAGTGCATTTTCAGCTTTTCTGGAAAGGATTAAAGATAGCCTTACAAATTTGGACCTGTGTGTGATTATATAAGTTTTCCTATATTTTATATGAACGCTTAAAAGCTTCACCGCTTTCTCTCCACTACTACTTGTTAAATCTTCTGGGAATATTAGTTTGCCTCAATTTGCTTATTAAAGATAATAATGGGGCCAGATGACTTTCAAAAAATGATAGTTAAATTTATAAACTGCGAGATATGTTGATCTTTAGGGCCACAGGTGCAGATATACTACAGCATATTAAGAGTGCATATTTCCTTAGAGCATACTATAAAACGCTTGAGGTTGAGTTTCCAGAGGATGTGGGTTGTGTAGCAGGTGTCTGACACTGATAAAAAAATTGTTGTCCTTTGAAAGCGGGGAGAGGACTGCTTCTGAGGTATTCAGAAACCACCGAGTGACCTTGTTATGAGACCATCTATGACCCTAGTGTAGCCAAAAGCGAATTAACATAGTTTACTCACACCCCTGAGGTGGAAATGTTAGGAAACTGAACGCGCTAAGCTTATTATGGGATGTTAGTATGGGTAAGCAAATCAAGTGCATTTGCTTACCCATGTAGCCAATCATGTTTTTATACATACCTCCTTCCTTATTTTTTGACAATGTAAAGACTGATGTAGGACTTTGCTCAACGTTCTTTCTTCGGAGAGATGGGACCCTTCTTGCCAAAGGGTGGTCTTTTTACCTCAATAAAAAGAATGAAAGGATTCCCTGACTCGGTGTGTTGATTGGACCTTGCGTGCCAGGTAGACGCCACTCTTTTGTGGCCAACGGTTTAGTTGACACGTAGCAGAATGTAAATTCGTTTTGTAATCCTCCACTAATGTAAAGGTAATCCTCCAATAAAGGCCTTCTAACAGCATTTTCTTTGGAACGTCGTGGCTTTGAATGATTTAATAATTCCTGAAGTAAAATTGCACAGTGGGTGGCTTTGCAATGCAATTCCAAGCGGGCTTACTCAGAAGGAAGATACAGAAAATACTCTTTGCTGCTAGCTAGAAGTGGTTCAGAGTTTTGAGCGCTGGATCTGGTAGCCCTGCATTATTTATTGTATGAGTCCCATTATCTAGGGTGGAATGAACCACAAAGTAACCACTGAGCTGGGTTTGCATAATGCAACGGGCTAAAATACTGAAATTTAAGGTTTGGTGTGTCATGGAAACCCATGAAACGCAGTGTTTCATCCAGAACAGCACCAGGTCTGTGGGCTTAGGTATATTTTTAATTTCTCAGGATGGTGTTGGAATAAATTTACCCTCTTAATTCCTCCACAAATTGTTTCTCCTAGCCATCCCCCTCCCTGCAGAAAAATCCCCAGATCAACTATCACAGAGCACAAGGGGGTTAAAAATATCAAGATGGCAGCACAACAAGCATTCAAAGTCCCACCCCTTTTCCATGCACATCGTGATACCCATAAAAGGGTGGGGCTTTGATGGCATGGTTGTGGCCACCTCCTCGACCTTTTGAAGCCCCCAGCAGACACCTCTGAAGGAGCGCTTGGATTGCCATTTTCCTCCCCTGTCCTTTGGGTTTAATCTCAGAAATTCCTTGATTTTATCTCAATTCAAATCCCAACAGATGTAAAACACGGCCAACTTGGCTGTTGATGTGTATGGTGTGAAATGCAACAAGAAGGCGAAATATTGGAAAAGGAAAGGATTGTTGGAAGAATGTCTTCCCTATGGTTTGTTCCTTGCTCAGGTCAAAACACCAGACACTAAGAGTTTTTTAAAAAAGCGCACGCAAGGCAAAAGCATTGAGTGCCACTGGCCCCATGCAAAGGGTGCAGGACACTTTTATACAGGTAATTCTCGACTTAATGACCACAATTGGGACCAGAACTGTCACCAAGCAGTGTGGTCGTTGAGTGAATTGTGCCTGATTTTATTATCTTTTTGCCATGGTCGTTAAGCGAATCATCATTAAATGAATCTAGCTTCCCTCATTGACTTTGCTTGTTGGAAGCCTAGGAAGGTCGGTAATGGTGATCATGGGATCCTAGAATGCTGCAACCGTCGCAAATACATGCTGGTTGCCAAGCGCCCGAATTTTGATCACGTGATTACGGGGATGTGAGGTTCATAAGCGCAAGGACTGGTCGTAAGTTACTTTTTTTAATGTAATTCCGAATGGTCATTAAGTGAATGATCATAAGTTGAGGACTACCTGTAGTCAAGTATAAACAACTAGTTTGTGCATTGTGTTGCCTTTAAAACTCAGGCACTCCAGTTGGCATGGAGCTGAAAAGAACTTGGTGGCTGAACTGGGACAGGGAGACACTAACTTTGCAAAGTGCCCCCCCCCCAGTACAAATCACAAGTACTTCAGGCAAAGTGAAAGGGGGGATCAAGTCTTTATATAGAGTACAGAAACAAATAATATATACATTCGATACATGGGTTGCATGAGAAAGCGACAAATCAAACAATAAAAGACACTGATTAGATGTGAGAGAAGACAGCCTTAAAATACGTTACATCTTCCTCTTTCCCATCCAGGTTTGTTTCTTTAACACTTGCAACACTCAAGTGTTTAGTTTCTGAATAGGCTAGTTTTCGCACAATGAAGGGAAATGGTTTTGGCTAAAAGGAAAACATGGTTCCTGAACGTCAAAAGGAGGGGTGGATGCCCTGCTAAAATGCCAATGTCACCTGTATTAAAAAGCGAATAAGGAAGGCTAAAGTTGCAGGTTACACCTAATTCTAAATTCCTCAAGTTTCGCTTTCCTAATAAGGCATAGCTTGAATTCTCATCTCTGTTGCCAGACGTTTCTCCTTATCTGCCTTGGTGACTTGCTTCTTTATAACGGCAAAGCCTTAACACTTCCCTTCTAAAATGGCATTAATTTAGCTTTCTAATACTGTAACTACTTTCCAACAGTACCTAAAAAGCTGCTGCTTTTTAATTTCTCAGGAAAAAAAAGAAGTCAATGAGTCAGTGGAGTTGCAGAAATAAAACACTTCAACAAACTTTGCAAGCTAATATTTATTTATTTATTTATTTATTTATTTATTTATTTATTTATTTATTTATTTACTTCCTTACTTAAACAATTTATATGGCCGCCCAACTCACTCACGGTGACAACACTAGGTTCAGACAAACCCCTCAGTGGGCTCTCTATCAACCTGGGATCCCCAGGCCCGCTGGCACAACCATGTTTTCAAGGCCTTGCAGAAGAGTGTCAAGGTAGAGGCCAATCTTATCTCTGCTGGGATGATGTTCCACAGGGAGGGAGCCACCACAGAGGAGGCCCTTCTTGGTCCCACTAGATGGACTTCCTTAATAGAGGGGACCCGTAACATACCCTGCCTCCCTGATCTGGTGGGTTGGGCAGATGAAACTGGGAAAAGGCGGTCCTTCAAATAACCTGGCCCCAAGCCATGTAGGGTGTTAAAGATGACAACCAGCACCTTGAATTGGACCGGGAAGCAAACCGGCAGCCAATGCAGCTCCCGCAAGAGAGGTGACATGAGTGCAAATCTAGGTTTGCACAAAACTATGTGGGCCACCCCATTCTGAACCAATTGAAGCTTCTGGATACTTTTCAAGGGCAGCCCCATGTAGAGCGCATTACAGTAGTCAAGGTGGGAGGTGACTAGGACGTGGATGACTGTGAGCAGGTCCAGCAATAAATAATAGAATAATCTAGAATAAACCTCTAGAGCAGTGCTTCTTAAAGTGTGGTCCTGAACCCCTGGGGTTCCCCTCTTAGGAGGTCTGCAAAATCAAATTTATTTGTCAGCCTATGTTGAAAAGCAATACAATATTAAACTCCCATCCAACAATCGTGAGAAGCAGCAGCAAATGCGTCCATTTTCATTTTTAGTATGGTAAACATCGATAAATATCACCCATACAAGCAAAATCTCTTTGGGGGTCCTCCATCATTTTTAAAAGTGGGAAGGGGTCCCAAGAGCAAAAAGTTTAAGAAACACTGCTCTAGTTTTCTAAAAATAAAGCTGGTGCTTTACAGAATTATTAGAGCCTTTTCTTCTTTGGAACAGGGAAGGCACTCTGCACAAAACAGAGAAATGATCCATAAACAGATGCCTGTAAAAACATATGAGCATTTTCATCCCCAACGCCCCATAACAACTCAGTGTCTGTATTCCTAAAATACTGACCTGGTTTTTTAACCCCATTTCTGGATTTGCTCAAAGCACCCACCAAAGGGACTGTGCATTTATTCACGTATGTATTTATCATATTTATATACGGCTTTCTGGAGTACAGCATCTCAAATTGTTTACAATAAAAACAATAGGGTATTTAGTAAATAATGCATTCAAACATTAATATTTGATTTTAAAAAATTAAAGAGTAGGGAAGAGGAAAATAAAGCGAGCACCACACTAAGCTATGTGCGATCTGGCCAAGATTCTCAACTAAGCTTAGCTTAGTGCAATGGTTAGGCCTTTAACTCAGCTGGTGAAGTGTGTTGCACAGACAATATTTAGCAACAATATTTCTCAGACTCACACTGGATGGGGATCTCCACGGCAGTAAATAATCCTGGTGTCACTTGGTTTGTAAGTAAATGCTTCAAAATCATAATGGTATCACAAGATTTGATTGTTTGTTTTTTGCTGGTGTAAGATTAGGAAGACCATTGTACGGTATCTAGTTGTGCATCTCAGTTTGGGAATATTCGTCGGATTACAAAGCGTAAAGCAAGCAGTTGGAAGGCAAAGCCAAGAAAAGAATAAAATAAGACCTGTTTGATAGCTGTTATTAAGGGTGGTCTTGCTTTGAGAGCGTCACGGGAGGTCTGAGACTAAATAATTTCATAGGAACCCAGATGGAACCTTCTGGAAGGAGAAGACAGTTGGAGAGTGGCAGTTACCAGCCAGGAGACTTAAAGCAGGTTAGTGAGGAACAGGGGCAGAGACCCAAGGATTCCCCTGAACAAGAACGCGAAGACTTTATTCTGCAAAACAGGTTAATTCCTAAGAAATAGCATAGATAAATGTTAGATCATTCTAGAAATGGGTGGAAATAGAAAGCTGGGCTCAATTTACCATGAAGCACCCCAATCCAATCCATGCCTTTCAGATGGAGGGGCATATGGCGACTTCCGTTCTAGGTCCCAATGTGCCGTTTTGAAAAACACCTCTGAAGCAGGAGCTTATTCCTGACCTGAAATGATACCAGGTGGAAATTGGTGAGATAAATGGATTTATCTGCCAACAGCAGGTTGGAAGGATTGAGTCTGAAGTATGCCAGGTCTTCTAAGGCAACTTTCTCTGACCTGGTGCCCTCAAGTGTATCATCCTCCTCCTCCTCCTCCCTCAATTTATAAGCCCCCTCAATCATCCAAGCTCTGGGCATTGAGGTCTTAAACTGGCTGAAGATCATGAGGCTGATATAGCCCAACACATCTAAACATCTCCAGGTTAGGGTCCAAAGTAAATTGTAAGCCCCAAGTGAAGGGGCTACTTCATTTCCATATCAAGTTCAGCATCTTGCATCCTGAGAACATCTTGTCATTCCTAAACACTAGAAATGGTGTTTTTTTATGACATTGGGACAATGAAGGACTAATATGTAGCTATAGCAATATTATTCTCATTTCTAATGTGTAGCCAATCAACTGGCTAGATTAATCAGTGAAATCTTTTGATTGTTTATGAAGGTGACTCTGATTAATTGGGCTGCAGATTTTTCAATCATTAAAAAAACCACAAGACTTTAATAGGAGATGGCAAACATCAGTCTTCCCCAACTGGCCTCCTTAGGCTGGGGTAGGGGTATATTATCTCTCAGGATTTCCAGCCAGAAGGACACAGTCCTAGGAATTATACTCCAGCATGGTTTGGAAAAGCTAATCTCACCTATTGTTAGATCTAGCTCATTTATTAGAGTTATTCTTTATTTTGGTTAAAGATCATAGATTCATTCAACAGTGGAATTGGAATCATTTAATGGATGATCTACTAATCCAACAATTGTCATTTAAGATAAGAACAGTTCTCATGCATGCTTTCTTCCCTATTTTTGCTTGTTGCTTTAGTGTTTGCTCTTTCCAGGATCATGTCTACTTCCACTAGCAAAAATCCTTCCACTTCCTCGTTCACTTCCCTAAATGAAAGAGAAGCGAGCCCTGTTCTTGCCAGCTCATCGAACACCTCGTGGGAGCTGCGTGCAGATGACTTCACCAAGGAGTTATCCTGTGCCCTTTGCCTCGAACTGTTTAAAGAGCCGGTCATTCTACCTTGCGGCCATAACTTCTGCAAACTTTGCTTGGAAACAATCTGGGATAAAAAGGGGATTTTCTGCCCAGAATGTCACATAAACATTCCTGACCGCACTTTCATAGTCAACCGAGCCCTGGAGAAAATGGCGGAGAAGATTAAGACTTTTCATGTGGGGTGCCAACAACAGAAATGCCTTGAGCATAGCGAGCCACTGACCCTTTACTGGAAACCCCAAGAGAAACTTGCATGTTTCACCTGCCGGGAAGCTCAGATCCCTAAAGATCAATGCACCCAGTTTCTTCTCATCCCTGACGCGGTGCAGATATATACGGTAAATGACATCCTGATCCAATGAATGATCCTGTGATCCAGTCAAAGGCAAGCTTTTGAAGCCCTCTTGGAGGTGCCCGCAGATCACTTAAGTACCCCTTAGTGTTCTGTTTGAAATGACCCACGTGCTTCAAGCTAAGGATTTGGGGCTGAGAGAGGTTGCCCCACCTAGAAGCGGTTGCATATATGGTAGATCCCTAGTTCAAAATTGTGTTAAGCAGGTGTGCATACTCTTGTGAGCACCCAGGACTCCCTTGTTTCCTGGGAGGAATGCTAGAAGCAGAACTTTCAAAAGCGCTTGGGTCCAGGATGAAGAAAATGAGCCGGGCCAGAATCAATCCTAAATTAGATTTAATTTAAACTGCAATTGGACTGAAATGAAAAGTGTAAAAGGGTAGTTATGTGATTGTTCCCCATGCTTCAAAGAATATTCCCTTTCCACTACATTAAAACTGAAGAGGCAACCACATTGAGGTGCTCTGGGTGTTCTATCTAAGATTTCGATTGATAGGAAATGGCACGTCTGTATGGATACAGGTTTATTTATTTATTCATTTATATGTCACATTTATATAGCTGCCCATCTTACACAACTACAGGTTGTCCCTGCATTTTAAGCAATCGTTCCAAACTTGGAAGTAGTACTGTATATGTTTGTAGTATATTCCTAACAAACCCCGTGTTAGTGCCTGAAAAGAGTACAGCATCTTGGAAAGCCACTGCAGGTTTCAAACAGCTGTTTAATCTGGCTAAGACGTAGCTGTCACCTCCCACTGTATCCACAGGAAAGGTTGCTCACCCTGAGAATCCAGCTGAGGTCCATCCTGGTTAAACTGGAGGTGCTGAAGAATGCTCAAGAGGAGAAAATATCTAATCATAAAGTGAGTATGCAGGAATTCAACAGATACCCTTGAACACTCTCACTGTGTATTGTAGAGGAGGGTAACACATTTTTCCCCCATTTTGAGCAACGTTGCATATACTGCAACCCAATGAAAATGAAAACATCAGAATCCCTTTTCTTCTCTGTGGCCACAATTAAAAGGAGGAAGGAAGCTTATTTTTGGTGTCATCATTATTCCAGGGTAAATAACAGACCAACAGTCCAAAACCATAAAACGGATATCAGTTAGTTATGTGCCCTTTACTTTCAATACATTGTTTTATTCCAGGAGAACAAATTACAGCTCCAGTACCATATCTCCTTGGAGTTCCTAAAGCTGCACCAGTTTCTTCATACCAAGGAGAAAATGTTAATTCACCAGTTAAAGGAAGAGAGTGAAATCCTTCTGCAGGAAATGGAGACCAATCTAAACAAACTCCAGGACCGGTCACAAAGTGCTAAAGACACCTTGGTCTGCATTCAGGCTCGGTTGTACCAGCAAAATTCTGCTGGTTTCCTAAAAGTAAGGTTTCCAGATTTAACAATTGAACATGGTTTGGGATAATGTTGCTGAAACATTAGACTTAGGGCTCACAAGCATATGCTGAGCATCAGGAAGAAGGAGTTAATTGAGAATTGCGATGTCAAGTAGAATAGGTAGGAAATGAAGCCTGCAGCCATTTGACTTTAAGGTCATTTTATTATATCTGCTCTAAACATGGGCAGAAGATTTAAGTTATAGGAGAATAGGCCCCAGGTAAAGGTTAGAAAAAACTTCTCAATAGTAGTTCAACAGTGGAACCAGTTACCCAGAAAGGAGGTGGACTTCTCTTTATGGAAATGATCAACCGGCATCTAGACAGCCATCTGTTAGGGGTGCTTCAATATGGTTTCCTGTGGTGAGCAAGGGGTGGAGTTGATGATCTGAATGGCTTCTTCCTAGGCCAGCGTTGTCCAAACTTGGCCACTTTAAGATGAGTGGACTTCAACTCCCAGAATTCCCCAGCCAGCCATGCTGGCT